ATTGATATCTATTTCAGATTTTTTTATTCAATTTTTATATTAAAAAAAAGCTGGTCAGAATTCTTCATTTATACCATTACGTATGCGTAACATTTATACCATTTAAATTCATCACTGCTTGTTTGAGACAAAAAATTAATTATATATATTTGCAACTATTGTTTGAAAACAAACTTTTTCATTCAAATGATGTGAACACATTGAAAACACACTGCAAATATGTCAGCTACATGTAGTGGATAGTAAATGTTGTAAACGTGTGAAACACTGGAAGTTCAGTAAAAACACTGGAGCTTAGATGTTGCACAGTTTAAATGTTTGAAATATTTAGAAAACAACAGTTTGTCTAAATGTGAACCTTTCCTGTGATGATGTGCTCACATCAGTAAAGTGTGATTATAACTTAATGTGGTGGTGAAAAGTGTCACTTCAGTATTATCTACCTGTCACGTCCTCAGTCTCTGATTAGGTTTCTGCCATGTGCTGCTGTGTTTGAGAACCTGCATGCTGCCTGGTGATGTAAGCTGCAGTATGTGGTCTTCACTCAGAAATAACTTGGAGTCACTTCTTCCTTTCTGTTCCATACCATCAGTACCTTAACTCTCTGTCCCTCAATAAAGTTTAAACTCAACTCATACAGTCTTTATTTCTGTCTTTAAAAAAAGTATCATACATAAAAGTGTGATTCTTAAAGAATAATAACTTACTGCTTTTAAATCCACCCAACAGTTATTTGTAATTTTTTTAAATTTGACACCATATGTAAAAAAAAATTAAATTAAACCATTTGGTTATATTTGTAAAAAAAATATAATAAAATTCTAACATATAGAATGCTAATGTGCAAAGAGAAAAAGAAAAGATCAAATAGAATTTTTTTTATTTATTCAATAATCAGTAGAGATCAGTAAAGCATTATCATATTCCAACACCCAAAATTGTTTTTTCTTGTTTTTAAAAATATAATTATAATAAAGATAAAATCAAACTGAAGATTTACAGCATCTCAAAAAAATTATCAACTGGTTTCACTCAAAAGAATTGAGTTAAGAATGTAAATAAGTCAATGTAATTTTTTTTATTTCATCCACTTCAACCTGGAGAGACTCGCATAGAGAATAATAGCAGTTAAACAGCTTTACTGATGTGAGAAAGTGTTTTTGCTCACGAGGTCCCCCCTCCCCGGGACACTGGTGGTGTGGAGGCCAGAGGGAAGAGGTAGACAGGAAGAGCCAGAGGTGAAGGTAAGTGTGGGTTGAACATGTCTGGAGAGCAGACTGATCCTCAGGTGATGGGCTTTTAGACCTGGATCCTTGTGAGTTGATTGTTATGGTCAGGATCTGACACTGATTGACAGCAGCTGGGAGAGTGACGCAGTGATTGGATGCAGGTGAGGTGGAGAGGATTTACTTTAAAATTTGCCATTTGGTTCCTCTCAACTGAATTGAGTAAATTCATTGCATTTAACATAATTTGACGTAATAATTTACTAAGTGTGCTACCTTTAAGGTCCTGTCACACTATACATTTTATGTCAATTTATGAACATTTTAAAGACGTCTACAATAAAGATGGAATTGAAAAAATCAACACAAAGCTTTTTTGGGGTGTGTACATAATGTAAGTCTAACAAATTTACCAAATATACAACTTTTATTAGCAATTTAGACATTAAAATGTTTCATAAGTTGGCATAAGTTTTTTAGTGTGCCAGGGCCTTTACTTATTTCAACTGAGTCAAAACTGTTGACATTTACATAAAGACATTTTTTGAGTGTACATGATTATAGTAATTTAAAATCAGCTTTCATTATTTTAAGTCTGGGATGCTGCAAAGCATCAAAAGAAGAGTATATGATAAACTCTAGAGCCACTTCAGTTCTGACACTGATTTTTAGTGGTGGGCAGCACTAATCTAAACATTAGTTGCACTAATCCTAAAGCACTAACTCAAATATTTAGGTCCCTTAATTCTAAAGCACTAAAATAATCCAGTTGACACATGAAACATTCTTCAGTCAACATAAGACAATATTTACTGTGTGCAGAATGTTGTCACTTAGTGCCTTACTGGGCCAAATGGGAGTCACCCACAGGCCACAGTTGGCCCGCGGGCCTTGAGTTTGACACGTGTCCTTGTAAATAAGTGACACATATGAACAAAATGTGTGACAGCTTTCACCCTCAACTGTGAACAGTAATGTTGATCAATAACATTTAAAGACCTCAGTTAGTGCTACTAAATTTAGCACATAAATTTAGCAAGTGCTAATCCACTAATGAATTTGAAAAATTGCAAAATCCCTAAAGCACTAATCAAGAAATTAGTTCCCCTATTAGTGCTTTAGTGGAACTGTGCCCACCACTGCTGATATTATTGATCTGCACTTTCAGCCTGTGATGCTCAGTAAAAGAAAAATCCCTCAAAAGGCTCTGTGAATGACTGAACATATTTAATCATAAACAGCAAACTGGTTTTCATATCTTCACATCCATCAGAGCATTTTATTTGGTGACTGATTGTCTGGCTGATAGATTCAAACTAAAAAAGCTGTCATATCATACACACATAATAACATGAGTGTTATAGTTTAACATAATTATTTTTTAGTTATTTTCATGTTTGTTTGTTTGTTTGTTTGTTTGTTTGTTTTTGTCACTAACTTATCTTTACATGAAGAAAATAGTTTAAACTGTGAGGACATGTGTGTGGGCCAAACACAGGTCATCATGGTTGTGACCATAAATTAATCTGTAGATTTACAGACAGAATTGTCAAATATGAACCATAAAACAGCTCCTTTATTAACAGTTTGTGAAGTTATCCTGCATGAATCTCAGTTTTACTTTGTATGAAATAACTGTGTTTTATGGTTTCAGATACAATTAGAGGCTAAACTAAACAAGTAAATAAAGACCACAAGTTTAAAGGAGAAATAAAACAGAAATTATAATCTGATAATCTCTGATTTTATTTTGTTAAATGGCTGAAGATTAGAGGCTGAAATGAGAGCAATTTCTAAAGAACCTTTACACACTTGACTAAAAATGTTTATTATTAGGTATTTTATGAATCATTTATAGCTACTTGGATAAGAAACAAACTAACTAATTGTAAGTTACTCTTTTTTATTATAAGTTTCTGATCTGTCATGTACTTAAACACTATTACATAGTTATTACCAAATAACTGGGTAATATTTAGCTAGAACTTGGTCTGAGACTTGTTTTTTAATTCATTTCCATCTAATTAAACAAATGTTATGGCTCTTCCTGTTCATTATGGTCCAAACCACTGCCATCTTTGCTGCATAAATTCAGGCTCTCATTCAGTTTCATCTGGATGTGAGGGGGTGTCAGAGGACTGGACTGGCTCTGCCTCTGGTTTTTCACCCTCCTTTATGCTCCCCTTCTTGGATCTGCGGTTCGGGGTGCCATTCAGGACACTTTCAGAGGTCTGCAGCGTCTGGAAATGCTTCCTGGAGCCCAGCAGGGAGGGGTTGTTCACCAGCGTGTACAGCAGCTGCCAGCGAGCTTGAATCCTCCGGCTGCCGGTCGTCCTGCTGGGTCGGTTCTCCTGAATCCCTGAAAGCATGGAGGAGGAGCAGGATGAGGGCAGAGTGAGCAGCTCCGAGAGGTTTCATTCCACAGTGAACTGCTCCCAATGTGATCATTAGGTGAAATAGAGCAGAGGTGACCCTTATTGCTCTAAGTTCAATAAGCACAAAGGGTTATAAACAATTACAAAAATTCAACAGTGTTTTACTCCCATTTTGGCCCCTGCCAGTGAGAGGAAATATCAGAACTTCAGGGGTTCACTTGTTTGGTATGGACCAAAAGTGAACTTTATTTTTAAATTTTTTTTACATTCACGGTGCCCCTTTTTGCAAGCTGACTAAAATTTATAAAGCAGCTCATTCAGTGGCTGTTTCTTGATGAAATACTTCTAATTTCGGGATGGTGTTGGCGTGCCACAACTCAAATGAGACAAACTGCTCATAGTTTGTAGCGCAGTGTTAGCATTAGCAACACTGAAGGGTCTAATTGTTACCATGTTGCTTTGGCTTGTGAAGTCCAAAAAGTCGCATATTTCCTGTAGTTGGTTTGGTTAAAGTGTGGTCTGTATTCACACCAGAAGCGAACCACACCAGAGTTTGTTTGGAAGTGAATCAAGATCGCCTCAAAAAATGGGTCTTGGTTTGGTTGTTTGGTCTATAAGGTTCACACCACCATCCAAAGTCACTTAAATCCCTTTTTTTTCCTCGTTCTGATGTTCAGTTTGAACCTCAGCAAATTAACTTTACCACGTCTTCCAGGCTTTGAGCTGCTGCCATGTGATTGGCTGATTAGTTATTTGTGTTAACAAGCATTGGATGAGTGTATATTATATTACATTTCTGACAAAAATCTTGATAAAATGTGCAGAAAACAGACCAAACTTGAAATGGGATCCTAGATACAGTAATTAAGTGCAGCATGTGTCTTTAGGTCAGGTCCGTACCTTCCTCTGAATCCTTTACTTTCTGTCCAGCTCTGCTGAACTCAATCATGGTGTCCAGCAGCAGACCACAGAAAGCCTTCAACACGGGGTGTGTCTGACTCACCTCCACCTTCAGGAAGTGGGTGTAGTACTGGAAGGCTGGATTGGATCAAGAGATTCAAGTAGGGCTTTTTTTGTGCAAATCCTCCACAAAACTAAAACTAATAAAAAGGTTTCCAGCTGACAAGTCAATGCAACTTAGGCTTTATGTTATCAGGTGATAAAACTTGTTTCTTTTACCTGGGTCGTAGGACTCTGCAGTGCGGTGGAGCAGACTGATGTCGACACGACCAAAGTGGATGATGTTGTACAAAGCGGTTATAACAATTCTCCAAATTGCAACAATTAATCCAACCACAATATTAACCACAAAGAGCAGGTACGTCAGCAGGAACAGACTCTCCCTGAAAATGACCGTAAATAATTTAAATCATCACACTTTAGCAATAAATGTATTTAGATCAAGTAAGAAAAAACACACCAAATGTGGTAACAGATTTTTAAACTCTTTATCAGAATAAATACTAGATAAACAAGAATAAACCAACCCACCGGTTGTTCAGGTCTCTTGCACCCGCTTCTTTTTTGATGAAGAAAAACTTTGCCGTCACATGTTGAAGCACCGTCACCAATATGATCATCACCCAGGCTGGCCTGACACGTTGCACAGATAAATGAATATGTACATATATTAATAATGTTAAATGTTTGTCTTTTACAAAATATTTAAACATTTTAAAAGAAAATGAAGAAGACGCGACTCACCAAGACATTTTTGCTATTTCAAAAACAATAAGGTTACGGCCGTAAAAAACTGGGATGATTATTAAAAACACCAAAAACAAGAAGCAGATGAAAAACACGAGGGTCTGGATCACCATTCCTGCCCCCAGAAAAAAAAAATGTTAGAAACATTTTATCTTTATTATTGCCTTTAGACCTTTCTTGAAAGAAATAACTTTTTTAAAACACAAGATATTTTTGCTTAAAGACGTGACAGTCAGAAATATTTTTTATTTTTTAATAATAGTAATAATAGTAATAATAGAATATCATGAAGATCTCATGGATGTTATAATTTCA